AGACTCATCAGGAAGACCCAAATAAGAACCGATGATTGGTGTCGTATAAGGACATGAACTGTTTGTGTTGTCGGAGGTGAACTTCCTCATCATAGACCTTGACAGGGAACAGTGAACTTCCTCGACATTTCCACCTCCTGAATGCTCTAGATGAAGGGAGATTTGATGGGCTCGTCCCAGTGTTGTCTTCTTGCATTTTGCCCTCTTAATGGTCATGCTTTGAGCGTTGAGGTGAGAATGTGAATCCCATCCTCAGTCACTTAAGGTCAATTGCAAGGACCTGCAACTTTAGATCTTTCTAGATTCTTATATGTTTGACCAAGAGGTTGGACCCCTCCTTAGAATCCTCCCCTCATATTTTGGTATAGTTGGAGATGGAGGTCTCCATCCATCAGGTGTTTTGCTCTCTTCTCCGTTCTAGCAGGGTTACTCCCAAGGGACAATCCCACTTGGAAGTGTGAGACCCTACCGCCTTTTGGCCCAAGCAATGACGAAGATCTATTTGGGATAGATCATCATAAGTGTGATCCTAGGAGTCTGATCTGTTAGTGTTGTGAGTAATTTGTCCACCCCAAGGCATTTTACATCATTGGAAGATCCCGCCAAATGCTCAAACTCATTGATTCTACTAAGGACATTGAATTTGTCCTACTCTATTTGCTTGTCAAACACCCAGTCACTTGTTGATCAAATTGATTAGCTCGTGGGCAAGGAGTCCTTCCCCGGCCTTTCGAGTGTCTGGTCGGTGAGTTGGACACACTATTAAGAGTCATGATGGATGCTCTTCATCTGCCCAATGGGATCTAGACATTGATGGAATAGGAGGCTTAAATGGCCTTTTAGCTTGTTCATGAGGGTTATCCTTCTGTTGGGACTGGGTATTCATCATATGTCTACTTCATACTCGTGTTTTTCCATAAATATGCCAACTTGCACGAGTTGGATCTAGTGAAATAGTTGAGATAGCGACACCTTGACGATGGATGAGATTCATGCAATAAGGAACAAGTTAGAAGGGGGGCTGAAGGGGTGTCTGACGTATCCTTTTGATACCAAAGTCAGTCGGTGTTCAGGTTGAACGGATAGTATGCAGTATATGGGCTTAGTTTCACTTACGTACCTGAGACCCAACCATTTGGGCTATTTATACCTATAAAGGTAATGATTTGACAATTGATGAGTCACATCAAGTCGATAGATTGTACATTCCTAGGGGATAGTAATCAGTGGCTATTGCCCTTCCCCTAAGCCATACATTTACTAGACCTAGAGGAGGTTGACGGTCGTTTGGGGTCATATGTCATAGTGATTACCTTGCTCAGGGAACAATGTATTCAATGCATGTAACTTGGTCACTTAATGACCTATCATGCAATTAATGAGTTGTGTCAAACATTTATGAGGTGTGCATCAATTATTAAATGAAGCAACACCCAACCAGTCCCATTAACAAGGGCCATACATTTAGCCAACTTTTTTAGGATATGGTGTGGTTCCCAATAAAATGTGATAATACATCTAGTCATTCCCTATTATCTGTCGCATATAGAGGCCCCAACATGTCAGATCATCATTTATTGCTCGTGCTCAAGACCATTCAGTTTTCCCACGGTTCTACGAGTCCCAAGGGGATGTATATGAGCTCGGCGTCGCCGGCCAGGGACCCTGCTTGTTCTTGGTATAAGTTGCCCAGTGTCCACGTGTCCCATCAATGCCACCCAAACAATGCCTAGAGCATCTCCTAGAAATTTGTTTTTGACAATTTCATTCATATTGAAATGTTGAATATACAAAGTTCCACCTTGAATTTGTGCAAGCTCTAGTGATGAAACATATAAAACCATGCTGACGATTAGGATCAGCTTGCAATGAAAGGAAGCAAAATAAAACTATGTGATTTATAAAGAAGTTTATCAAACCAATACTTCAATGGATGATGTACAATGGTGTTCGTTCATATATGCAATTGGCTAATTTCGTGGAGTCTAATGTAAAATACCAACCTATTCAATGGTTATGATGCTATCAAGTTTAAGATCTGAAAGCATCATAGAAGAGAGGAGACCAAGCATCAAAGCAACATAATTCAACCTTCATATGCACCTTTATGCTTAGGAAAAGGTAATGACCTAGACACCTAAGATGAACCCTTACTTATTTTAACTTAGGTTAATTAGGAAAAAATAGAATTGGAAGCAATCCGATTAGGACTCCTAGGTGATTTTAAAATAAAATAAAAAATCCAAACTATTTATGAGTTTTGAAAAAAATGGTTTGAGTCACAATTGGAATCCTCTTCACACAACACCCTTTAGTGTTCAAAAGGATAAGTTTTTGTATGGTTTTATGCTTAAAACCCTATAGGAACCAATCTATGCTCGATTGCCGTTGCTAGAGCGGTCTATTTATGACTTATGGAAGAAAATGAGAAAAGTTTGTAGAAGGCAGCAGAGGGCTCGCTCTATGAGCTCACTTGAGCGGTCTTTCATGGTCACTCGAGTGGTGTTCGTGGTCTCTCGATCGGTGCTTGCCTTAGTTGGGTTTTGAAATGTGTTTTTCATTCCAACAACAAATGCCCTATGACTACCCTCCCACCAATCAAGCGGTCGTTCGCGAATCTGAGGTTTCTTATTTACTAAGACAACCCTTATTCCAAACCTATAAATAGAAAGAGCCTTTCCCACACCTAGGTTAAGTCTCTTGTGAGATTTCTAAGAGAGAAAATCAAACTTCTACCTTGAGAGTTTTCACCACAACTTAGATCCTTAAGACCCAAAAAGATACCACTAGAGATTCTAACCAACTTCACGACTTGAAGAAGATCTTAATGGTTTGATAAAGTTATCGATGTATGCATACTAAGAATCATTGGCGTGCAATGGGGATGTCCAAGTGAAGCTACACTAGACTTCAAAGGAGGCTCTTTAGCTGAGAGACAACAAGAAAATGAGCATCTATCTATAATATTGGTTAAGGTATAAGTCTTGAGTACTTGTATATTAATTTAGCGAGTAGTGAATTAGGCTTTGGTGAACCCCGTGTGGTTCCTCGCAGTTTTTTTCTTGAGAAGGGTTTTTGCGTCAGCAAATTGCTTGTGTTTTTTATTGATTAATGTATACACTTGTGATTGTTTTCACACACATGCACTATGTGTTTCTTGATTTGATTGTTTAATCATCTATTCAACCATAGTTCTGCAAATTGGGTTTGGGGTCTTGGGACCACTGTTAGATTGATTTTTGAGCGACTTAATTGAATATTAATTAAAATCAATCATCATAGGTTATGGTGATTAAAAGGGGTTCTCACTATTATTTGATAAATCTTTGTGAGAAGAGATAATTGTAGTGGGTTAAGTTTTAATTGATAATCAATTAAGCGTTAAATTGAAAAACCAATTCACCCCTTTTTTAGGTGTAGTGTCTTGAGCTCCACATTTATAATCGTGAGGAAAGATCCACATCGGGTGCCTTAAGATCATAGACACTAAGTAGGCATATTTTTTTTGCTTACTTGCCTAGTTTACCTTCAATGGATCTATTATTACTACTAGTTAGTCTTGAATAGATTCTCAAAAGGAAGGTGGTTTAATTGCACGACCTCCTCTCTTTGATGGTTCTAATTTTCCCTTCCCTATGAAAAGTGTTATTCTGAGAGGGGGAGCTCGATATAGATCTTTCCTCATGAGTATACACTTGGAGACCAAGATATAGAGGGGATGAATAGATTTTTCAATTTTAGCTGATAATATTTTACAATTTACTCCACGAAATTAGTCAATTACAAATATGATCTAATAGAAAGCTCACATGAGAACGTTTCTTAAATTTATCGATTAGAGGGTTTAGTTGATCGTGCAAGAGAGTTGGAGCACTCCCACCACCACCACTCAAGTTGAAGGTGGCGAAGCAGTGGTTGAATTGAAATCCCCAACGACTTGGTCAAGAACTGAGATCGAATCGATGGGGTAAAACTCAAAAGGTTTGATTGTGATATTCAATGTTGTGACACTCAATAAGTTTCAAAAGATCACAAATTGCAAGACTTCAAATGAGGCAAGAAATATTCTTGTGGTTTCACTTGAAAAAACTACAATGGTCAAGATGTCTCATCTCCAAAGCTACACCTCACAATTTGAGATGTTAAGGATGCAATATTATGGATAGGTGCTCATTTTCAAAGCTACACCTCACAATTCTTCAGTAAAAAACTTTTGGAGACTTTTATGCCAAGTTATGTGATATTGTTAATTCTTCCTTTGCATTAGGTACCAAGATCAACGATGCCGCTGTTAAGTGGAAAATCTTGAGATCTCTATCAGAGAGATTTTATGCTAAGGTGACCTTATTTGAGTTGAGTGTCAACATGGCCACGATATCGGTCAAAGACCTAGTAGGGTTGATTTTGACTTTCGAGATGAACCTTATTCCACCCAAAAATGCGAAGGGTGTGACATTAAATTTTAAAACTGAAGAGGGGGTAAATTCGAGTCACCCCAGTTAGGAGAAGAGGACATAGCTTACCTTGCTAGAAAATTCAATAAGTATTTTAAGGTTAGTGGTGTCAAGTCCTCAGGTCGAACAAAAATCCAAGTAGACCCAAGTCTCCTAGAAATGGAAAATAAAATGGGGGTAGACCTTCTCAACATGAGGTGAAGAAGAAAGTGCAACTGTCCCTATCGAAAATAGGATTGACTACGGATTCGAGCCATAGCATGCTATGAATGTCATGAGTTTGGACATGTAGCTACAAAATGTCCTAGTGCTAAAAAGAAGGGCATGCCCAAGGATAGGAAAAAAACCTTAAAGGCTAAGGTGAGTGAAAGTTAAAGTGATTCCACTGCAAGTGTTGCTCCGCTTTGTCAAGTGATGAATAAAATTTCACAGCCTTTGTTGGTTCATATTCCTCTTCCCATGAGAAACTTTCAACGATGAAGAAAAGGACATTGATTCGAGTCCCACTATGGATGTAGATGACTTAATAGTGTAAGTCTCTACTAGTGAGGATGAGACCGAGAGTGTTGAGGACTTCCAAGATGCTTATAACGAGTTATACAAGGAGTGTCTCAAACAAGGTGAGAAGTTGCTTTCATTGAGCACGAGGCTCAAAACAAGTGAAGATGAAAAGAAAGTACTTCATATGGACTTAGTGAAGTCCAAAACTCATATTTGTGGGCTTGAGGAGGAGAAAAAGTCCATCCATGACAAGGTGAGGTTCATTGAACGATAGCACAAAGGGCTTGTACAGTCTAAACCCGGGAAAAATTTTAACTTTTTCTGAAAAAAAAATGGCAAAATGGTAATTTGTCATTATAGTGCGGGTTAAAAAATTGGTATTTTTATAGACCTCGGATGATGAAACGGACCTCACCGTTGGATTCGTCTCATGAAATCTAGTTACCCAGACAAATTTCGTCGAATTCTAAGATAGTCAGATTTTTCACGTTTTTTGAGGTAACGGGTGTTCGATGGCCCCTAAAAATGAAATTTTTATAAAAAATTTTAAAATTTGAAAAATATTTTAAATAAAGTTCATATAAAATATTTTGAGCTTAAATCGGTACGAAATTTAATCGTTTCGGGATGAAAACGAACCCGGACAAAGGACGACACTTGGCGCAACGAGGGCCAAGTGTTTAGAAAGTATAAAAGTGGGCAAATATCTGAAAAATCAGATATTTGCTCTTCATTTGGCCGGCTGGATCAGACCCAAGAGCAAAGAAGAAAAAAATATAATTCTTCAAGCTTTCTTTCGCCGATTCTCGGAGTTCCGTCGGTCGAAATTCGTCGGGCCAAGAATCAAAGTCGATCTACGCGACGAGAGCTACGCGTGGGTACCAAAAAAAAAGATTTTCACCGAAGATTCAAAGGGAGGATTTTGGAGAAATCTAAGCTTTGGGCTTCAATCTTGTTCTTGAGGCTTCCTACAAATTCTTTACGCTTCAAGAGGTAGGGTTCCTCCTACTCGGACCTATTTCTAACCTAAGGTGTCCATAGGGTTCATGTGGGCTGTTTTGGGTATTTCTAATATTTTTCCATTATGATTGGTGCTATGAAAATGGGTAGGATCAATTCTAGTGTGAATTGGTAGTTAGAAAGTGCTAGTTTGTGATTTCTTGAATGTTTAGATAATTGGTTATATAAAAATCATATATTCTGATTTTTATTTTGTTTGAATGATCCATATAAAATCTTGACTTGATTTTGGTATATGGAAGTATTTATGTAATCCCTTGAAAATTGGGATCATGTGGGCATGCTTTGTGTTTTATATTATGCCTTGGGAATGAAATGTAATATTAGCATGTATTATGTGTTATCATGTTGATGGAGTGTTGATATATGCTCTTGGATATATTGAACTTGAAATGGTTATGTGATTATATGCAAATGATATTAATTGTCATGGTATACAATGATATTTAAAAATTGTCATTTGGCATGCATTGCAATATAGACATGGAATTAACATCACATTCATGGGCTACATGCATGAGTGTAGGTGTAGGGTTGCATGGGGTGATCAACACCAACATTGGTACTTGATGGTAGGCTCGGGGAAGTGGGATGGAACGTCCTACGGAGTCGCACGGTGACATGCATAAGAAAATTTGTGTCGGGTATAGCAAGTAGGGCTAGACACTCCCTGGGGTGAAAAACCCGACCACTTGGTTCATACACTTACCGGCGGTGAAATTCCAGAAAAGTGTAACGGCGTACGGAGCCGGAGGTGCGATTCCTGAATCCGATACCCCATAAAGGCACATGATTTTGATATATAAATTATTCATTTGATGGAAAACATCCAATAATGAATTATTTTTATGACATATGGTTGATTTCAAAATGATCTTTGGATGTGTTTCATCAAAAACGTTTGTTTTACACGTAAGTGTCGCATTGTGCTGTGGGAGTCGGTGTGGGCTCGGGATAGCATGCATGGGTGAGTTTCATCTCATTACTTGGCATGACATCATGATTTTCCAACATTGTATTATATGTTATTGTTGGAGGGAATACTTGTTGTGAAATGTTGCATTTATACATTGCATATGCATTTTAGGTGATGAGTAGCCTCTGTAGGGATTATTCTACTGGGCATTGGCTCACCATATGCGGGAAACATTTCAGGTGTGGGTCATGCACCAATGGACGGCTCACAATCAGGGTCACATGGTTGAAGAAAAGCCGACTTGTGGCTTCCAATCCATTTTTTTTTTGTAAAAGTAGATTTGCAATTAAATTTTGGAATGTAATGTGTAAAGTAATTGTAATAGAGTATATATGGACTGTTTTAATATAACCTTGCATATTTTGATATAAATATGATGATTGGACCCGGTATGGTCAAGTCTTACGTATAGAATGGACCCTGTGTGGTTATAGTATTATATTGGACCTCGGATGAGTCATGTAAATGTTGATTGCACAGATTGTGTTTTGGGGTAGAGCTTCCCGTACAAAGGAGACTCTGCCCGGATTTCGTTAAATTATGGATCCAGGTAAATGGGACACAAGGGTACGATATCGAGTTATACGGTATCCACAGGCATTCCGTGTGTTGATGGGAAATTAACGGACCCCATGAATTTGGGGTGTCACATTTCTTTTTCAGCCCGTTGATCATCCATCAACCTGCAGAATGTAAACCCCACCCCTTTATCTTTATATATGTATGTAGGTTTATATAGCAAGTTATTAATTCTTTTGAAATAATAATATGAAAAAATTCAGGAAATAGTAATTAAAACTTAATTTAGCTTGCTAGTATATGAAATCATTGTAATAAAACTTAATACCAACTTGGTTTGATGTACAAAAGCATGTTGAAGAAGCTTGGGTTGGAATTGGAAAGGTTTGGAATGGATTGAAAATGAAAAAGGGAGGTTTTGTAGAAAAACAGACAAAACCTTCCGGAAGGTCGATGAAAAACCTTCCGGAAGGTTGATGAAAATGTTTGTCCAGAAGACAAACCTTCCGGAAGGTTAAGGAAGATGATTGTCCAATAGACAAAACCTTCCAGAAGGTCGATAACAACCTTCCGAAAGGTCAATGAAAATGGTTTGTTAAATAGGCAAACCTTCCGGAAGGTCTTCGAAAAATTTGAAAATTTTTAGTCTCGAATAGTCGGCTTTCCTTTCACTATAAATACTTAAAGATAATCCCTTTAGCCCCATTTCAACACTCAAAACCCTAGGATACCTTAGAGAGGAGTAAAGGAAGAGTAAAAAAAACACAAGATCAAAGGGAATTTCAACTTCAAGAAGATCAAAACCTAGTCTTTTCAAGAACATCAAGGTAGAGGATTTTCTTCCATTCTTGTCCATTGATGCTAGGGCTAATATATATGTTTTCTTTGACTCTAAATCTTATATATTTGCTATAAAATCATCTTTCCTTGGTCTTTTGAAATTATTAGCGTGTTTTAAACAAAATTAGGGTTGAATACCCATGAAATCTCATTTTCTTGATATCAAACCCTAGTTTTCAAAAGAGATGGACTTTCGTCCTGATTCTTCCTTTGTTCTTGACTTTGAAACTTGAGTGCTTGGTGTTGAGTAATTAAATGAAGTTGTGATGATCTCTTGCTTATTTTTCTTAAATTGCTCTTTTGTATTACAAATTGTGAAATTTGGGGATTTATGGAATTGTTGTTACTAGAGAATTTGGTTGGAATTGTATCTCTTATATGGTTGTTGTGATGGACTTGAATTGCATTCGGGCACTATCGTAGAGTGTTAGAGGTTAGTCTATCCCAGTGGGGGTGAGATGGTTTCCTAACACTTGTAGTGGTTTGTTGTTTGTGAGAGCAACCACTATTGTTCACGTAAGTTTGAGGCTGAGAGTGGGTATACCTTTCCTGGAAAGGATTCGTCAATGTCGTGGGAGATGGTATACGCCCTTCCTAAAGGTGGTTTGTGTGGTTATGATTGGGTGAACGAGGTAGAGTCGATGTGTAGATTCATGGGAAGCAACCAACGTACATGAGAACATGAGATTAATGTTGTTGTTCGGAATTGATTTCCAACAAGAGCTTGTGGAGGTATAGGACTCTACAAGAACTAGTTGGAAATGGTTATGGTTGGAAATGTTGTAACTTGGTTTTACTGTTCATTTAAATTATTGCGATTACGTACACTTGAGATCGAATAAATTGTCATTGTTTTATTTCAAGTTATATATGCTATTTGAAAAAAATGAGACCGGACTGTTTTATATGTTTTCCAAACCTTGTTTGAGTTTGGAAGGAAGGTTGCTACAGAGCTTAGTGCTCACCCCCCTTACAAACTATATTTTTTAGATTATTTGCTAGAGGAGGAGCTAGGAGTAGATAAACAAGCACATTGAGAAGCTCCTATAGAAGGGAACATGGATCCCGAGGGGGACATCTAGAATTACATTCTCTTTTGTCCTAGACTAGGATATTTATTTTGAGACTATGTAAAGTCAATCCTTTTGTAATTCCGCTGCAAGTTTATATGTGATTCTTTTGGGATGTAATTATCATAGTTGATCATATTCTTTTGGGATGTAATGACCATGGTTGGCCTATTCTTTTGGGATAATATTGTAAATGCTATAGTTGATGGATGGAATTTCTTTAATGATAGAATTATTTAGTTGCTCTCATGATGTGAATGATTTGTAGATTGTAATACCGTCCAAGGTGGGTTTTGGGGCGTTACACAAAATAACCATGGATACCGTATAATCCAATACCACGTCGTTACACCCCATTCACCGGGATCATAAACAACACAGAATTTGGGTAGAGTCACCTTTGCATAGAATTCGAGAAGAGTTTAAAAACTAATTTTTGGGTAAAGCTCATGTGCAAAGGAGACGCTGTCCAAATTTCGTGTTGTTTTGATTCTAGTGAATGGGGTGTAACGACGTGATATTAGGTTATACGGTATCCATGGATATTCCGCAGATTAATAGATGATCAATGGGTTGAGATGGACCCCTCAAATTTAGGGTGTCACACCCACAACCAAAAAGGCTAACATTGGTAAACATGGTCATTATATGCACATTGTATTCAAAATAGGGAAGTCTTAGGCAAAAAAACTCATACATCTAGGACACTAACCTAAAACATTGAATAATCAAGATGTCAATCTTTCCAAATTTTTAGAAAGGTCAAGTGTGTCCAAGCATACTCATGCATCATCTTCACATGAACTACATGCTAGAGTGACCAAGACA